CATAACCCTGGAACATACTTCAGTTTCTGGAGTCTTTGGGATGGTGCTCAGCAGGCTGTTAATTTCATGAAGGAAGACATCAATCCTCTTCTTCTTCGTCTCCTTCAATGTCACCTCTTTCAAAAGCTCTTCAATCTGCAGAGGGAAGCAGGACCATCAAAGGCAGCTGTAACACTGGAATTGCTCCTGACTTTTACTTTGTTATCCAGCACCAACCATGAGCCTGGTGCAAAGGACAGCTGTTGAGCTAGGGAACACACCAAATCATCCATAAAACCTGCCTGAAGCTGGCAGTTTGATCAGTTCCTGACATTTTCTGTGAGCCCTGGACTACAATCACCTCCATGCCAACCAAGGTCAAGGCAAAAAACCCTGATGTAATTCACACAAGCACAGCCCTCAGGAAAGCTGTTTGTAGGACAGAGAATCAGCTGCAGGAAACCACACAGGTTCTCACCACAAATCGGGCCCTAGAGATGACACTGACACCAGCAAGGAGCAAGGAGATCAAAGCTGCTCCTCATAAAAATCATCAATGGTAGAACCACCTGAGGGATGGGATGCCATCCAGAGGGAGCCAGACAAGCTCAAGGAGTGGGGCTGATGAGTGTCATGAGGTTCAACTCAACAACACCATGTGCAAGGTGTTGAATCTGGCTTGGGGCATGAACAGACCCAGAGCAGCCCTGCCCAGAAGGACCTGGGGGTGCTGTGGGTGAGAGGCTGGACATGCCCCGGCCATGGCACTCACAGCCCAGAGAGCCAAACGTGTCCTGGGCTGCATCCAGAGCCCCGTGGGCAGCAGGGGAGGGAGAAGATTCTGCCCCTGTGCTCTGCTCTGCTCTGCTGAGACCCAGCTGGAGCATTCAGAGCACAGGAGGGACAGGGACCTGCTGGAGCCAGCAAAGAGGAGGCCACCAAGATGATCACAGTGGTGAAAGATTTCTCCTATGAAGCAGGCTAAAAGCACTGGGATTGTTCCCAAAAATAAAGAAGGCTCTGAGATTTACTGTGGCCTCCCGGCACCCAAAAGAACTACAAGAGGGCTGGAAAAGGACTTTTTATGAGCATATAGTGATAGGAAAAGGGGAAATGGCTTTGAACTTAAATAAAGTAGATTTAGATTAAAAACTGGGACAAAATTCTTCCCAGGGATGCGCTGCCAGGTGAGGCGCTGGCAAAGGCTGCCCAGAGAAGCCGGATTTCTCCAAGTGTTCAGAGCCAGGCTGGATGGAGCTCTGACCAACCTGGTCTAGTGGGAGGTGACCCGGCGGGAAAGGGGGGGTTGAAACTAGATGATCTTTAAAGGCCCCCAAACTGCTCTATGATTCCACTATCTAGTTACCAGCTGATCTTCACCGAAAGCAGCTCGGTAACCCAGGTCATCTCCGGGTCCCCCCCGGGCAGTGCGCGGCCCCCCGGCTCACCTGCAGGCGGAGCAGGCTGGAGTGGAACAGATCCTCCGTCTCCTTCAGCTGGGTCAGCTCCTCGCTGGTCGGCGGCTTGTAGAGCTCGGCGCGGCTCAGCTTGGCTGGCTGCGGGGCTGCGGCTGTCGGGGTAACCCTCTTCCCCCGCCGCACCGCGGCCCCGGCGGGGGGCTCTGGGCCCTGCTCCGCCTCCTCCGCCGCTTCCGGAGAGCCCTGCGGGGAGAACACAGCACGGCATGGTATGGTTTGGTTTGGTTCGGTTCGGTTCGGCTCAGACCAGCCCCGGGTTTCCCCCGGCCCGGACCCGCCGCCTCTCACCGCCATGGCCGCCGCCCACGTGCTCCGCCGAAACCACGTGCTCCGTCGAAACCACGTAGGCGGCCGCGCGCCGCTTGCTATTGGCCACGAGAGAAGCGCGGTGTTTCCCATTGGTCGCACCGCCCCTGCCCGCCCCTGGGGGCGTGTCCACAGGGCCGTTCTACTTCCGCCGCAATGGCGGCGCCGCTGGCAAGCAGCGTGGGCCGCGCGCTTGCCGAAATCACCGCCTTTCGCCCCAAAACTGCGGCTCTCGGGGCGTTGTGACGGCCTTTCGCCTTCTGGCGGGCGAGCGCGGGGCCGCCTGCGCGCTGCAGATCCCAGTTGTGGTACTTGATGCTTAATCGGGGTGGATATCCCGGATATGGCCTGGATAAGACCCTGAGCCGGCCTGGCCGGCAGGAACAGACACCGGGAGCCAGGAAAACCCTTCTGGCCTGGAGGAGCGGGCA